ATTAATAAGTGAAATTAGTTATTGCTAAACTGTATTTCTGAAATGTTGGAGTTTAAAAAATAATGGCTATTATAATTTGATGTTGTTTGGTTTTGGGATATTAGGATAAGCAATGTTTATAGGATTTATATTGAATAGGATTTATAGCTATATGATTAGAAATAGTAGAATTTATATTTTGTTTACTTTATTTTTTCTTTATTAATAATTTATCTGTATAGAAAATTAACTTTTTTTATATATTGCTATTATTTTGTTGTGTTTATAATTTGTTATATTATGTCAGATAACTTTTTTTTTGATATTAAACTAGTTTCTTTTAGGACTAGGGCTTTATTTAGTAAATTAGAATATAGGAACTTGCAGCTAAAACCTCAAAAAAGTTACCTTATATTAGAGAGTACAACTAGCTATACATACACTTTTGGTATCTAATTTAAGTAGTCTATCAATAGTTCTATACTAGCTGCTATACCTGCAACCCAACTAGAAGCATTGCCTATTTAAACTCTCTGTACTGCAATCCCTACTGTGTTACTAGATCATTTCTGATACAAATGTTAGTCAAGAAGGTCTAGATACTCTTATTCATATCTTTAGAACCCTATATTTTATTTTATGCAATGTATTTTCAGAAACATTGTTACTAGAGCCTTCTGTATCCTACATACAGCTGATCTAGTTTTATATAATGTGCTATAGTTACCTAATACTTGCAGTCACAGAAGTTACCTGTTTAACTACTACATTACACTATTCTACTCTTGTAAAATTTATCCAAATTCTGGTATCTATCTTTTTGACTTCTTTTTTTCATTCCTCTACTATTCAACTTAGAATTTGACAGACTTCTCAGACTCTTCAAACTCCCAATTCAGATAGCTCAATATAGTATACTTTATTATCTTTTTTTCTTTAGCAGTCTGGTTGGTTATATGCTTTTTTATATATTTTTTCATTTGGTTACATCTGCCTATTTCTTATTGGAGTTTTCTAGGCTTCCATTAGTTCAATAGCACCATCAAAGGTTTGTGCTACCTTTTTAGTCAGAAAGTTCTAAATAAGCTTCTGTTTCTCAGTTTCTTGGTTTTCTATATCTGGTAGTCTTATCATAGGTTTGCACTTGAGTTTTATGTAATACTGGTTATTAATATTCCTCTATATAGAAGGGTGTAGTGACTTAGCGAAGTAAATAAGTTGTTATTCCTTCAAGTAGTAGATTGTGAGTTCAAAACTTATTGATAATAAAATTTGAATAATCACCTATATAATATATAAATGGTATTATGACAACAGCATTCTGTTAATCAGTTAGAATAGGATATCTGTAACTATGATTACACCAGCATGACTGGCAGGTCTGGGGCATTCATGTAATCTGTTATACAGAGGAATACAAACTGATACTGGATGATGCAAACCTAAAATAAGTTCTTGAACTATATAAATCTGTAGAACTAGGAAGCTAAAGCTTACTTAGAAATTCTGAGCAGTAAAGTAATACAGATCTTTGATAGTACTACTATAAAGACTAGATCTAGAAAATAGATACCAATATAGAGGAATTGGGCAGGCAAGAACCTTAGATAAGAAGTATTACCAACCAGGTTATCAGAATTTAGACCAGAAAAAAAGAATATTGAACTGGCCTCAATATACCAAGAACAGGTCACAGTCCTTCTGAACTATCTGAATTAGAAGTCTAAGATCAAAGTAGGAGTATACTAAAAGTACTAAGGATATGCTGTAAAGTCAGTACTAGGGTCTAAATAAACTCTGTAAGGGTAGTTCTTGTTAGTATTCTAAAAGTGAATAGATAGTTAACAATAGGGAGCTCTCTGCACCTTACTGGCAGATGATATACTCTAAAATGTATAATGGCCTAGAAATCAGTACAAAAAAGATAGGTATCATACTGCTTAGACAGTATACTAGGTAGATATATACAAAAAGTTACTTGGAGTTACATTATAACAAGATGAATGATCAGAGAGTTTAAATAGATAATCTCCTAGTAGATTATAGGTATAGCATTTAGTATAGAACCCTAGAGCAGACTATTTAAATAGCTGATCAAAAGTTGCATATGTAACTAGTTGTACTCTCATCTTTGTAAAAATAGTTGTAATAACTAATCCAATAAAAGTCAATAAAATATTATTACAAAGTATGGCCTTTAACAAAAAAAAAAATTTTTTTATGTATATATAATATTACATTTCATTTAAATACTCCAGACTCCTAATGATGAATAGAACCTAATTAATTGTATCTAAGATTACAGATATCTAAATCTAACTAATTAACAAGAGACAGTTTTTCATAACACAGATTAATTTTCAAATTTCATCATAGATGGAATTTGAATTTTAGACTTGCCACTTAAAGAATAACAACCTAACTACTATACTAGAATCATTATTCTCTAGATAACTTTTTTAATACTTTAGTAAAACAAATAATAATATATATAAATATTAAAAATTTGCCTCTTATTTAATAAACTTAGCAGATATTTATATCTTATATAAAATATGTAATAAACAAATAAAATAAAATTTAGAGTTTAGTAAATATATTTTAGTTATAACTTATTGTTTTTATTTTTTATAAATAAAACAAACTTAAAAATACTAAATTAAAGATTTTTAGGAATGTTACAACCCAGTAAAATAGATAAGTTATCAACTTTCAAGTAGTAAATTGTGTATTCAAATCCTATAAATAGTAAAAATTTGGATAATCATCTATATAATATTTATATTATAACAATTGTTTCTAATGATTAGATTAAAATATCTATAATAATAGTTATACTAGCATAACTGGTAAGTTATAAAGCATCTGTGTAATAGGTTATATAAATATATACAAATTGACATCAGATAGTGCAAACTTTAGATAAATCTTTGTAACTATGTAAATTTATTAAAGTTAAGAAACAAGAAGTCTATTTAGGAAAACCTGAATAGAGAAGTAGTATGGATCTTTGATAATACTATTATAAAAGCTAGACTACTGGAATGAATACCAAGATTATAGTATCTGAACAGACAAAAACCTTTAATTTAAGAGTTTTAGAAGTATTACCAACTAAATAATTAGAACAAACTAAAGATAAAGGATATTAGGTTGATCTAATATACTAATAGACTGGTCATAATTCTATATAAACTATCTGAATTATGAGTCTGATAAAAAAGCAAGAGTATACTAAAGAACTAGAGATATGCTATGAAATAGATCTTAGGATTCAAGTAATCTTTATAAGAATATAGTGGTTAAATGATATAACTCTAACTACAACTATTGGTTTTATTATAGTGATACTAGATGAGTTGTAAAAATGAATACAAAAGGCTATAGAAGGTTACCTCAAGGATAAAATAGTCTTAATACTAAAATGATAATCTGAGTATGACCTAGTAATGTTAACAAAGATGCAGGTTCAGAAGATTTAAAATAAAACATTCTAGCAAAAATGGTAAATATAGCAATTGGTAAAAAACCTTTAAACAAACTTCTTAAATAAGTAATATAGAAAAATTATATGTGTAACTAATTGTATATTCTTTTTGTAGTAGTTTATAAAATCACATTATCCAAAAAGTTATTAATAAAGTCAAAAGATCAAAGAGATCATCTTAATACTAAAAAAAAATTTTTAAATTTTTTTCATAAAAATAAATGAATAATCCAAATAATAAGATGTGTATAAGAACATATGATCAACTAGGTCATCAGAATCATCAGAAAAAAAAAATATCATACCAGACCATCTAGATTGAAAATTTGAGGAATCCTGTTAGTTCTAAATTGCAGTTAATAAGAGATAATAGAGAAGATATCAAAAAAATAGATACTAAAGTTTAGATGAACTTTATAAGAGTAAAAATAGTGTAACATAATAATTTAAGGTTAACTCTGACTGCAAATGTTAAGTAACAATAACATGTTTATGAAATACAGAAAACTCTAGTAAGGATGCTTCTGAAGATACATTGCATAAAATAAAGTATAGGATCTTAAGAATATAAGTAAGCATCTAGACCTTCTTGACTGACATGTGTAACAAAGATGATCTAGTGACACAGTAAGAATTGTAATACAGAGGGTTTAAATAGGCAATGATCCTAGTTGAGTTGCAAGTATGACAGCTAGTGTAGAACCATTGGTGACCTATTTAATTAGACATCAAAAATGTATGTGTGACTAGTTGTACTTTCTAATGTAAAGGTGCCTCCTTTGAGGCCTTGGCCGTGAGTCCCTATATCCTAATTACTAAATAAAAAGCCCCAGCTCTAAAAGAAACTAGTTAATATAAAAAAAATAAATTAAATTAAAGGTTTTTTATACTTTATATTTAGCATTATGAATTAATCTATAGTATTGAACATTATAATTGCTTGACCTTAAATAAGAATATTTAGAGCCCTTAAACCCATAATATTTAATATTAAACAAATAAAAATAAAAATATAGTATAGTTTTTAAATAAATGTCTTTAATATTATTTATATAAATAATTTTTCTAATGTACACAAAATTTAGATGCTTTGGTATAATGCTTGGCAATTTTTTGACTGTTTTATCTACTCTAAGAATTACTTTTTGATTTATGTGCATTTTTAAATCTTTTATGCTTTTAATCCATTCATGAAGTTTACAATAAACACCCAAGCAATAGACATTTTCGTGGATCAGTATTCATGCATTGTTTAGCTGATTCAATATAGCAATCTGAAATTCTCGATACGAATTCAGACCGCAATTCATTGCGTATAATACTAATTACAAGATTTTCATCAAAATGATAACCATCAAAAAGGTCTTTGTCAACTTTTATGAGTTATTTTAATTGTACTTTTCAGGAAATCCCAGGTCCGAGATGTAAGATTGTATACTTATAGTAATGCCTTTATCTTGCAAACTATTACCACTATGAAAGCCTACAAAAATGTATGTATCCTGAATCATGAATTTTACGTAAATCATTTGAAATGTCTTCAAATAAATGGAAGACAGCGATAAAAACGACGTTGATTCTGTATTTCAAAAATGATAGGTCCGTTTTCAATAATCTAGTGTTTGAATGAATGTACAGAACTGTAGCAATCGTTTAAGTCAAAAATTATAAAAATAAACAATCCATTTTTGAGATAATATTGTTCTTCGTGATATCAATTTTTACCATAAATGTGTTATTAAATAGTAAGAATGGCTGATTAACTTGAGGTTTAACCGATTGCTGTGGTTCATAGTATTTATTTAAGTACAAAGTTATCAACAATAATGTTCTATTCTTGAAATATTTGAAGTCATGCGATTTAATATCTGTTTCTTATTAGGATGCTAACATTTAAAAGCCCCTTGGGATTGACAATTTCAAGTACCATCAAGGCTAGTCATCCAGGGGTTATATTGAGCTCTTAAATGTCAGCTCCCTTATTAATGGGATACGGTTTGAATTCTAACCATATGGTTATTAATTCGAAATCAGTAGCTTCCAAATTACATTAACACGCGTGAATTTACGGCCGGAATGAAACAGGAGAAACCGTCAATGTTACACATTAATACTTCACACGATGTAGTTAATCAATAATAAAATTATTTACTTTGAGTTTACGTACTCTAAAATGTATTTTATGGATATAATCCCTCGCCCCGTCGGACACACGGGGTGGTCAAATTATTTATATGTGTGATGGATATAATCCCTCACTTGGTGTAACATTAACGGTTCCTCCTGTTTTCACCTTTTTTAGTTACGTATTCATTTAATAACGATAAAGGATTTTCCATAACGATAACGATAACCGTATTTTGCGGAATAAAGTACCCCTCGTGTCAAATATTGTAAATCTCCTTTCTGAATGCTTGTTATATACTAATGTGACGTGTATTAATTGTGATATTTAATTTTTTATGTGTAAAAAAAAAAAGCTTTATTCCGCAAAATACGGGTAGATTATAATTTTTATAATAATATAAACTGTATCATTTATTCCTGATAGTTACGAAAACATTTCTACTGAAAATACATAAAGTATTTGTATTCAAAATATTGCCTGCCAGGCGTTTAGAATAATCATTCATTGAAATGGGCGACACTTATCAAAAATGCAATACTAAACATCGTTATCAAAATATAATTGAGGACGATGATCATAAAGCATCTCGTATTATTCAAACGGCATCTGAGACGAAAGATTCAAATATAGTGTTTCGAGCTGGTGGGTGCTATCTATATGGAACTGGAGTTGAAAAGGATGAACATAAGGCATTCATTTATTTTCAAAAAGCAGCAGAGATGGGGAATTCTAATGGAATATTTGCACTTGGTAACTGTTATTATTATGGAATTGGAGTTGAAAAGGATGAACATAAGGCACTCGTTTATTGTCAAAAGTCTGCAGAGATGGGGAATTCCAGTGGAATATATGCACTTGGTACCTGTTATGATTATGGAATTGGAGTTGAAAAGGATGAATATAAGGCATTCATTTATTATCAAAAATCTGCAGAGATGGGGAATTCTAATGGAATATTTGTACTTGGTAACTGTTATGAAGATGGAATTGGAATTAAAAAGGATGAATATAAGGCATTCATTTATTATCAAAATTAGCAGAGATGGGGGATGCTCGTAGAACATTTCAGGTTGGATATTGTTATCGATTTGGTATTGGAGTTGAAAAGGATGAACATAAGGCATTCATTTATTATCAAAAATCAGCAGAGATGGGGAATGCTAGTGGAATACAAACAGTTGGGTATTGTTATCGGAATGGAATTGGAGTAACGAGGGATTTAAACAAAGCCAATAAATGGTACCAAATGTGAGTTATTTTTATATTGCCATGATAACTTTATATATTTCTTTTTAATAAATGTAACATGAATTACTAGAGAACGAAAACAAATATCAAGTAATTACTTATTATTATTGATTATAGTTAGTTGTCAAAATGATTCAAATATAACGATATTAACTTAATTTTCGTTAGTAACAAACGGACGAACATATGAAAATTTGGTTATTGATGATAATTTAAAAAGGATACTAACTGAAATTGAATACCCATTATCTTGGATTCCTTATAACGAATTTGAAAATATACAAAAAATAGGGCAAGGTGGATTCGCGATAGTGTATTATGCTAAGTGGTTCAATCGAAATCAAAGCATAAGGATACTTGTTGCACTTAAATTGCTTCGTGAATCAAAAGAGAATTATGAAGAATTTGTAAAAGAGGTAAATGAATTTATATGTTAGCATGTTTGACAATTTACAATTAATTTTAACAAATTAATTTTAACAAATTATTTTTAAAACTAAAGTTAAAAGCATATTGTGATATTGGCATTGAGAATCCAACGTTTTTAAGATGCTATGGAATGTCAAAAGATAATATTTCTAAGAATTATGTTCTTGTTATGGAAATAGCAGCAGGAGGATCTTTAAGTAGCAAGCTTGCCTCTGTAGCACAAACGGAATGGAAAGATAAATTAACTTTGTTGTACTGTATTGCTTCTGATCTTCAAATAATCCATTCTCAAGGACTTATTCATCGAGATTTACATAGTGGAAATGTTTTACTAAATAGTTTAAGTAGTGCATATATTGGTGATTTAGGACTTTCAAAACCAATAAACGAAGACTCAAATATAGAAATTGATGGTGTTTGTGGAATTTTACCATATATAGCACCAGAAGCTATTAATCCAGAAGGTAAAAATAGAAAACCATATACAAAAGCATCAGATGTTTATTCATTTGGCATAATTATGTGGGAAATTTTATATGGAATACCAGTGAATACGTTTTATACAAATTATTTGGTTCACATTTACAAGAAAAAATAATATTTGATAAATCAAGGCCACCAATTGTTGAAGAAATATTCAAAGAAATTTTTGAAAAAGTATTAAAAGAAAATTTTGAAGATACAGAAACATGTTATGTTAATTTAATGAAACAATGTTGGGATGAAGAATCGGAAAGACGTCCGTCTGCAGACAAAGTCGTAGAAGCTTTTACAAAATGGAAAAATGATGAACAAATTTTATTAAAATTATCCAAGTCCAGCGAGAGATTTAAGCAAGTAAAGAAGCAAGTAAGAAATGAAAAGATTATTTGTTCTGATGAAATTTATTCAGATAAAACTTATTCAGATAAAATTTACTTTGGTAAAGTTTACTCTGATTTAGTAAGCGAGTTAATTCTGTTTAAATCTTTTACAAAGGATTCCTTATAGTTTTATTGTTTTTGAATTTCAAATTAATTTATGTAGCTGAAATTTCGTTCTGAAAATTTTTATTAGAAGTCAAAATGCAATCATCTTGAGTCATTTATTGTTTTTATTATTTTCTCGAATGTTTTAGATTACACATGATCTTATGGTTTTATTGGTTACAATCGAAAATTCCTTGCAAAATGTTGGGATAAAAAATATTTTTATTATCACATTACCCAGAACTTAATCTAACTAAAGATGCTGGTAAAATAAAAAGTTCTATCACCAAATCTCAAATAATTCCCGAAAATTAATTGTCAAATTGTCACATTGCCAATAATCTGTAATTATGGTTACTAATAATCTATGCGACAAATAATTATCGGGAATCTGATTTTCGAGACTTTGTGCTAAAGTCGAAATGAAATAAAGCTTAAAGTAGTAATTGTTTGTTGAATTAGTGAAATTAATTTTACTAATACAGTATAACCTCGATATAACGAAGCTCTGGAGCTGGAGGTTTTGCTTCGTTATATCAAAACTTATTAGTAGTTTCGTTATATCAGGGCTAATTTAAACATAAAAATTAGAAATAATCTTCGTTATCGTTATTCGAGGTTCGTTATATCGAGGCTATACTGTATCTCTAAATTTAAATCAACTGGTGTTTGTTTTATATGATTTAACTAGAGTGGCAATACGTCACACTGGTAATAAGTAATAATTTTTAAAAGATTAAAGATTGATAAAATTTTAATTAATATAAATTGTCATATTACAAAACATAGTAACCGTACTGGTGTCGTTTTTTTCTTAATTTGACGTCAATTAACAACTGACATAAATTGAGAACTATGATAAAAAAGGATGCATCGTTTGGTACAGTACATGCCTTAAAGTTTTACTGTGCCACTTACCCTGGTACAAACACCACGTTTAAAGAATATTAAAAGGTGTTTCTTTAATATGATGGACCTTGTTTAAGTTATGATGAATCTTTAGTTTCTTTTACGTTACATCTAATTGTTAAGTTTATTATTAAGTTAAACTAGCTTTCTTGTAAAATAATTCGTAGCATTACTAAAGATGCTGACGAATCGAATCGTCTCAATGCATTTTACAGCATGCGACAAGTTACGACTACGACCAAAATCACATGATCTCATTGCTTCATAATTATAATAGAAGAGGGTGAAACCCGCTACGTAGATTACGTTAGGATGAAATCCGCATGTGATCTGCGTAGCGGATTTTACTAATTCACAACGCGTGTTTCACCCTGTCGTATTATAATTAAAAATCACGGTGTATTTTTGCCGTAACTAATTAATCAATGTTGTAACTAGCCGTAACTAATTAATCAATGTTGTAACTAGCCGTAACTAATTAATCAATGTTGTAACTAGCCGTAACTAACTCCATGTTTAAACCTTCTTTATAATGAACTCTGGATATGATGATCTCAAACTTTTTAAAAAAGCGACATGGGTTTTTAAGAAAAAATAATTTCTATAACGATCCTTTTTTTTTTCTTCAGTTCATTAGTGCCCGTGCCTGGCACTTGCAGAACCCTAATAAAAACTGAACCAAATACAATAAAAACGAATTTCCATTATATTCTATGCTCCGCTCAGTAGCAACAATGGAACCTCATAAGTCTCACAGTTGGAATACCTATTTCGACAAAACACCACCAGAGGATTATCGCTTTTTAGATTTTACCATTATCGATTACGAGAAGCTGATTTTTCCTTTTCCTTCCAGAAAGAGTCTAACAGACTAAAAAAGAATATTGAAAATATCGTGAATAATGGATCAAATGGAATGAAGGTGGCTGCCAAACAGTTGCTCAGTAGTTTTAAGGAAAGTTTTATTCGTTTTTCTATAGTTATTTCTTTCAGGGAGGATTTATACGACTAGGAGGGCTATCTTGCGCGCTGGCCCATTTGATGGATTGTTGTTACTGCATGTCGAGCTCATAATGAACTCTGACTCTTTGCGGGAAAAAGGAAACCCACACAACTACGATGGCATCTTGCGGTCCTGCGTGTCCGTTGTGTTTGCATACAGATAAATTTTTTATTACACTCGGACGCGACATACTAACTTTTTTCATTAATTCAGGGACATCGGGAATACTTCACAGAAATTGACGCGTTTTGGAGGGAAATCGAATTACATGAAAGAGTTACAACGCGTTAAGGTTTTTTATTTACTATTTATTTGATCTATTTACTGTAATCAAATTCATGCTCATACTGACTGTATTTTTTTTTCATAACTTTAGGAAGAAGCTTCAAGATCAATTATGCACGATACTATAAAATTTTTTCGATACTGCGATTGGAAATGCACGTTCCACCCTTGAAAATGTCAATAATAGACTGGTAAGAACATATTTTGTGTAATCAGTAGAAAATAGCAGTTGATTACATTGTTAAGTGTTATTTTGTAGATGAGCCCAAGAAAGCGTTCCAACAAGGCCATAACACAAAGCATTAAAAAAAGTCAGTATGAAAATTACAAAATATTATTTAATAACGAAATAGCTTATCTTTTTTTTCTTACCTTATTGATACTACAGACTAAATTCAACACAGTTTCCTCAGCTGACTTGGTTGATACAAGTTGAAACTGAAAGTGATATCGAAAATGGGCCGTAAATGAGATTGAAGACGACTATTAGAAGGTTGAAATCGATATCAACATTATCATAAAGCAGCTAGAGAAGCTACCCACTGTTAAGGTATATGTATTAAATGATTCATATACTTTACATTGATTTATGCGCATGAATCTGCATGAATGCCCACCCATAAGTACGTATATATATGGGATCAATAAATTTAATCAAAAACTAGGTGCTTGAGTTGCTTAAAGAAAGTTAGAAATAATTGCAGTGTATTGATTGACTAGTGCATTAAGTATCAGATTTATTTATATTAATGTAAATTTTAAATTTCATTTCTGCCGAATTTTTACAACTTCTGTTCTTTAGTGGAAAGTTGATAATATTAATGTTTCACAAAAATTCGCCAATATCAACAGATAGCAATTGATAAATTAAAAAATAATAATGGGCTTATTTGGAATGACACGTTTGAGATATTGTAGGTATCGTTAGAGTTGGAAGTCTGGATGCAAAATTCATTTACTAAACATTTACCCTTTGTAATCATACTTCAGGGCACCATCTTCGATTATCGTGCTTAGTTCTCCGTGTCCATATCCAAATTTTACAAATATAAAATGACACAAAATTATTCAAGCAAGCTCATACCAACTTCAGAAACACATGGTTCTATCATCAATCTCAAGTGCTCTATTGGAAGCATCAAGAAAGCACGCTATTGGTGATGACAGTTTAATGTCTTGGGCAAATTTGGTTTCGTTTTTGAAATAGTTCTGATTTAATAAGGTGATCCGAAATAAAAATTACAAATTCCGAAATTAAGACGAAAATCCGATATAAATCCAATAAAATCCAATACATCTGATATTTCTGATATTATCCGAAATATAATCATGAATGGTGCGAAGTGTTGCCTATCCTATTCAACAGACTATTTATATCAATTTGAATAGCATATTTCAAATGCTGTTGAATTTCCAAAACCGATCCTGTCAAAGTCGATAACTTTTCATATCTAATAAGAAATTAATTAATATAATAGTTTATAATGCCTTCAAATCTGATGACCTTTAAAATCTTTTCACCATGCATATCGGTTTTGGCAAGTTTAACAGTATGTATCTTTTAATGAAACGTTCAATTCTTTAATGTATATATTGTGATTCTAATTATTTATACATATTCCAAGTGCACTGATAAATTAACGATATTTACATATATATAAGTAGTTAATGTGCGAATTTGAATACTGTTAAACTCCCAAAAAACGATATGCATGGTGGATAGATTTTATCAGTATTGAAAGTTATCAGATTTGAAAACATTATAAACTATTAGGTTCATATAGCGAAAGCAGACGTGGCAGATTAATTTTTTATTAGATTTGACAGGACAGGATCGGTTTGACAGTAGGAATCTAATCGTTTATAATGTTATCAAATCTGATGACCTAATACTGATACAAAATCTGTCAACCACCATATCGATATCGATTTTGTGAAGCTTAACATTACTTGACAGTGAAGCTGCCCGGATGTGCGATTGTTTAATCAACGTATCAAAAAAATTTCACACGATTTGGGTAACGTTTTTGAACATGACCATCATAGTCTCGGACAATTTCAAGCTTTTTTGGATTGAGCCTATAATATGGGCAATTACGGACATTTCGAAAATTTGCATGTTGGGCGAAACTAGTATCGTCCGGATTTCGGATTCAGATTTGGAGAAATATTTGGGTTTCACCCGCAACATTAATGTATTGTATTAAATTAATTACAATTAATAGTTGCAATATGTTGTATGTAATGCTATCTTTATAAATGGGGTGTGTCAGCAATAAATCTTTAAACAAAAAATAAATCAACAAAAGCATCAAGTTTAGTAAAAATTTATCGAATTTATTTTTGCTTAAAATTTAAAAAATTTAGTTAAAAAAAATTTGGTAGTTTTCTACTCAAATATTAAAAAAAAAACATAATTGTGCTATGAAGAAGTAACAAAGGAAGGTTATAAGTGTATGCTACGAATAAGTAACAATGGAACCTTATTAACGCGCACGTATTGAACGTTCCTGTAATAAATATTTATTTAGCACGTAATGACTTTCCTATAATAGTAATAATTATTTGACGTGAATTAACGTTAACATTTCTATACTTAATACATAAAATGTTTCTATAGTTAAAACAAATAGAAAATGTGAGCAATTTAAATATCATATTAATTATCTCCCTAAATGCAACCTCTCTAAATATAACCCTTCTAAATGCAATACCTCTCTAACGCTAAGTACAACCTTCATCCTTAACCCAAACAGCATAGCGGGCTTTTATTGTAATTGGCTGATTTTTGTAAATCATTTCATGACATTGCAAAAATATTATTGGTTAATTGAAATCGGATTAATGATTAAATACTTTATATGAAACCAAATTGACAGTAATAAATGATTAAATACTTTATATGAAACCAAATTGACAGTAATAAATGCATTACTACAAAATCCTAGCAACTCAAAACATTAGACAATCATTCTGGTACAAACAAAATCCTATAATCCAAGATCTTGTAAAATATACTACTGTATGGATTAAAATCAAGAAAAAAATCAAAAGAAAAAAAAATTAGGAAGGACGAACTCTAGAAAACTAATAAAAATTTTAAACCAATTTTATCTATATACAGTATAATACTAGTTAATTAACACTAAACGAACTCTAACCTCAATTCTAAATTAAAATCTTAGACGTAGTATTATGTTCATTACTTCGCATCACTAATTAATTTTACCATCTGTCTTTAGGATAATAAGTAAAGTAGAAATAAATAGATTAGCGATGTTAGATTTGCGATGAAACCCTTTTGAAAATACAGAAATACCGGGCTTAATAGATTATATTCATGCTTATTGACTAAATTGAAATGCCTAAACATACCTCTCATCTAACTTCGCGGATTACCGAATTACCTTGACAGTTTATAAAGTAAGACGTGACCCTTCTAATTTTTTTCGTCTTACTTTAAATAAGATTTTCATTATAAGAATACAGGGAATAAGATTTCATTATAAGATGATCTTCAAAATCAGCCAATCATAATAAAGCCCGCTATGTTAGCCCAAACATACACCGGGTTCCACAAATACAATTTTTCTTATTGATCTTTAATCAAATTGTAAGGTTAGTGAATTAAAGTGTTAGAGTGTTCTCAGGTAGTTCCCTTAACATAATTTGCCAATAGTCGAGATATTACTCGGGCTATTCTCAGGAATCTCCTCAAACATGCTCTCTCATTTATTATTTAGGGGTTTAAACGTTTAAAACTTGCTTCATAGTTCCGGGCATAATTATGTTGGTCGTGGGCCTGAATTATTTTAATGCCGGTTTAATTAAACGGTTAGCACGATTAAATGATTAGAAAAATTATTATATCGTATATCTATTTTATTATAAATAATTAAATAATCACCTTACAAACGTTAAAGAATCCGTTGTGGTATGGCAATTGTGATAGAAGGAAAATTTTTGTGGATCAAAATTTGATACGCCAAGCTTTGGGTACTAAAGTTTTAGGTAATTGGGTAATCACCTTTTTTTACGTTCCTTTAATTTGCACATTATTAATACGATTTATTGGAATGTAATAACATTCCATTTATTTATACTACAAATAGTATGTTATTACGTGCCTCTTTAATACTATAACTTAGCACGTATTAACGTTCCAATGTTTATACATTAGTTGGCGTTCCATTTATTGAAACTATTAATTAGCACGTAGTAACATTCCAATAATTTAATATTATTTATTCGCTCGTATTAACGTTCTATTTATTATACAATTTAGCACGTATTAACGTGCATTATTTAATACTATTTATTAGCACTAATAAACGTGCTATTTATTGATACTATTTCTTTGTACGTGATAACGTGCAACTTATTGATAACTTTCTATAATAATATTCAAAAGAAAGCTTAAGATCTTAGCTTCCTTTTGACTATTGAATTATTAAAATAACTTCAAAATTTACCGAGATATGAGTCATGAAAGTTAAGATATTATATTAATTTTTTTTAGAATATCAAACTGCTTAATTTCTATTGATGGCAGCCGAATCTGTAAGAGATATTTTTGTATAAATATTAGATGTTTTTTTTTGTTAGGTACTGTACTATTATTTGCACGTGATAACGTCGCTATTTATTATATTACTTAAATAAGTGCTATTTATTGGTACTATTTATCGGCACGTAAAAACGTAGCATTTATTGATACTATTTAT